TTGTAAATCTCTTCGAAAGGGACTTCTGGAGCAGGCTATGGATCGTACAAGAGATTATTAATGCACGGACTGCTTACGTATATTGCGGCGATTCTGTAGTTTCCTGGGACGTTCTTGAGGCAGTTTGTGTTGATTTGCAGCGTCACAAGGCTGATATAAGACGCCACTTCCCACAGGGCAAAATGAAAGATTCACGACAAGGACGGTCATACGCTCACGTTCTGTGTTCGCAAGGTCCTGCAAGCCTGATTATTCTGAGGCCAAGTGCAAACAATGGATGTGAATCTCTTCTGAAGGCACTCCGTATTTGCAGGACAAAGCTAGCCGCTGATCCTCGAGACAAGGTATTCGGCGTCCTGGGGATCTTACCTGAAGATGTTCAGGGTTACTTACGTCCCAATTATAACTCATCTTTAAGAGAAGTATACACCACAGTAGTCGATTTAATTGTCCATTCGACTCATCGTGTCGACATTATATGCGACGCAATCTACTACCCAATCTATACAAGCACGGTCAAACTGCCCACTTGGGTACCCGACTGGTCCTTTATTCCATCCACGACGGCGCTTGGATCATCTTCTATATTCTCTGCAGCCAGCGACGTAGATGCCGAATTCGAATTCCTTAATCTACCGCAACGCACTCACCTTAAGGTGGCCGCTATATACATTGACCAGTTGAAGATACGAGGCACTGCCGTGGGGACATTCTGCACATTGGATGACTATCTAATGGCTTTCTTGCATTGGCAGGCCAATCCTTTCGCCTGGCTTGTATCTGATGAAGTGGATCCTAAGGTACGGAAACAAAATGACGAGGCTTTCTGCCGAACACTCGCCATGGGGGGTGTCTCAGACACACAAGGAAAGAGCACTTGGCAAGAGATTTGCTATTATGTATTCACATCTCTCATCAGCGATCGTTTGCCATCTATAAGCCTCAACGATCACTTGAAGGCCCATACAAATCCGGTAGAGGGTATTTCACCCCAGGACAGACGGAATATCTTGCAAGACAACTGTGCTTCAAATATGCAGGGACGTTGCTTTTTCACCACTACCAAGAAGCTCATGGGTATGGGATCGGGCTTCATGAGAGACGGTGATATCATTTGCGTGCCTCTAGGTTGCAAAACGCCAATCATTTTACGAGAAGATGGGAATAATGAGTACCGCTTAGTAGGCGATGCGTACATAGACGGTTATATGACTGGAAGGGCTGTCGAGGAATGGAAGAAAGGGAAGAGGGAACTATGCGATTACATCCTACACTGAATAATTAATAGCGTGGGATTTCATACTGCAGCTGGTGGTTACCAGGGCAAACCACGACTTACCACGAACGGTCGCTACTCTATGTTTATTCTCCAGCCTAGCTGATGTCAGGAGTTCTTGGAAAGGGGGCGGTCTTACTCTCGCAGGCTTCGAAGTGCCGAAGAGGCGCACGCTCTTGCGGACCTTAGGGCTTACAGAGCCAGCCAGCCTCAATACGGTGGAAGCCGAACCCGTAGATTCTAGGAAATGATGAGCTAGCTTTCGACATATTATGCCATAATCTCGCAATTAAGGGTTTCTAAATACTTTTAGATGGGCATTGAGTCGAAGGGTAACCTTGACGGGCATTGGCGTTATAGGCTGCAGGGCCAACACAGCCGCAATGTAACTGTAAAAAGACAGGGCAAGCGTTATATAGACTGCCGCAAGGTACATGGAAAATAAGGAGACTTCTGTATATAGTCATACTAACTCTACGAAGGTATTTTGAAGGTTTTCGCGCAACGACAAGTGTCTATTTCCTACCTTGAGTATAGGGGTCCTAATCTAGACAACATGCATGATTCACGTAACTATTGCCGTCAAGTTAGTAGGGAGCTACCTAATGATCATGTTAGCGTTCTTCACACTCGTATCAATGGGAAGCTTAAACCGGAGGTTCAAACTGTCAGCACTCAATTCCATTGACACTTCTGCTATGCAGCATGCAAGCCACTGTCATAATCACTTAGTTGCGAGTTCTACTAAACTAAGCTAAGAATACAACCATAAGCCTGAAGATTTGAATTCCAGAAAGGAAGGGAAGAGCGAATTTTCATATACTGGCTAGGACCTAAACAAAGGAGATCCAGTATAGGTAACATCGGATAAAGAGCCGCATCACCACCGGCGGCGGAGGGTCCTTGTCCCCGCTTACTCCTCCGTGACCGTGCGCTCCAGGTCTCCGTAAAGAAGCTTACTTAGGTAGCATTTTACGTAAGTATTGCTCTTCAGCTCACGCCTAAGTATGTCAGCCTACAAGTCGGCATTTAGACTATTACTGCTATACCGCCTAGTCCCTTGCAGGAGTTAGTCCTCTAGACGTGCATATGCCACGCATAGCTATTCTCCCTTACTTCTTCGTCTCCTCTTGGCGCACCGCTATGGAATGGCACCTTCCAATACCTCGTATAGTCATCGTAAGACGTAGCCCGCATCAACTACCCATCACGCGATTGAATAGCGACTGAATCATCACTGAAGTCGGCCGAGTGTGGGGAGATTGGGAACCATTCTTCACATCAGACTATATCTACAGGGCCAAGAGAGATGACTCCAAAACTAACTATTTTGACGTCAACTTACCCCGAAGTAATATGACTTTGGGGGCCTAATGATCCTGGCAAAGACTGGAGCGAATATATCCACTGTATTCCGATTGAAGAGTCTAGACAACGAGGTGTCGGGCATAGCAGGATCTGCTCGCATTCCGGCACTAGACCAGCCAAAGGATACGATTCCAGCCCCCGTATGTCCGTCCGTCTGATGCTTTAGCTGCATCCACACGTAAACGAACTCTAACGTCTCCTCAATGGGTACATGTCGGTATGATTCACTTCCTGATCAAGACGAGGCAGAGCCTTCTTAGCATTAGATATGTGTTAGGACGTAGCTTATTAGTTTATTAGACCAGTGCTACTCTTATTGTGATGCTTCCTCATTTAATAACAAGCTGCTGTTATTCGGCAATACTAACAATTAAGACGTAGGTATATATCCCTAAATTTTACAGTCTACGCCTGCGCAAAGGGGTGGCTAGTAGCCGGCCTCAACTCGATTGAGGCTTCTTCATATAGGCCACAATTGGTTGACAACGAAGGCAGCTGTTGCCTCTCTTGTCTTAGACATTTAGAATTCCGAATCGGGGCCTCCGCCATATCTAAATAGATAATGCGTTATTCCATGCCTCTTAATATGCCACGTCGTATGAGCGAACTGCTTTGCGAAGCCTGTGTAGTCCCAGCTGAGTATGCACGCACCTACGCAATTTTCCCCTCTCCTTCTGTGATAGTGCCATCGCAATGTATTCGGTTATGCACCAGCGCATCAGTCTAGACCACACCTCAGCCAGCCTCAACAGGCCTTCGGGATGCGGTCTCTGCTTCCACGGGGGGGACATGGGATGTCGTTTTCCTAGGGTAACCCGAAGAACTCGTAGCACGAGGAGGCAGCTCTAAAATGTATAAAAGCCTTGAACATTCGTGATATCCTACCTCTGCTCTGTACACTCGCAACCCATTCTATACTTCCAACTAGCAACCGCCGCCAGTATATCCAAAATGGTTCCTTATACGCGACTCTTCTCCTATGTCGGGTGCCTGTCATCTCTTTACCTTGCCAGCCCTGCCGTCGGGTTAGCTCTACGGCCTGAGGGACATTCCCTGAGTGCCCGTCAAGGTCCATATCAGAGGAGAATTCTCGACACCGGGTCGACCTTTCGCCAAGAGAACAATGGGGTGTGGCAGCTGATCGAGTAAGTAAGAGAAGCAAATTATCGAGTTGCTACCCGTCTACCTGATCCCGGGTGCAGTGAATGAATGAATGAATGACTAACATTCCGCCCCAGCGCAACAAACGACGGCGTTCCGGATCTCGCATACATCAAGACCCGGCTCACAGGGACCAACTCGGTCGAAGTGCACATCGCGTCGTCGTCGTCCAACTTCCAGACGCGCATCTTCGAAGCCGGGAGCACCTTCGCGGAAGAAAGCGACGGCACCTGGCTCCTCGTGCCGTCCAGGAACAGCGCGCTGCCCGACCTCGCATTCATCAAGACGAGCAACACGCCCTCGGGGCACGTCGAGGTGCACATCGCGTCGGGGGCCTCGAGCTACCGCACGCGCACGCAGGAGACGGCGACGGTCTTCGCCAACGAGGACAACGGCGCCTGGTCGCTGTACGACTACGACGGCGACGGCGTGCTCGACCTCGTGTACATCAAGACGCGGAACACGGGCAGCGGCCGCGTCGAGGTGCACGTGGCCTCGGGGGCGTCGACGTACAGCCGCTTCCTCGTGCAGACGGCGACGACCTTCGCGCCCGAGGACAACGGCTTCTGGGCCCTAGCCCCGTACTCGGGGCGCGGCGCTGCCGACCTCGTGTACATCAAGGACGCGCGCACGGGTACCGGCCAGGTCGAGGTCCATGTCGCGTCCCGCGCGTCGGGCTACCAGACCCGGATCTTCGAGGGCGGCAGCGCCTTTGCGCAGGAGGCGAACGGCGTCTGGAGCCTCGTCGACTATAACCGCGACGGCGTGCTAGACTTGACCTATATCAAGTACCAGAATGCGGGCACCGGGACCGTGGAGGTCCATGTTGCTGCTGGTTAAGGAATTGATTGCGCTGCTGCGTGGGGGGAAGAAAGAGAAGAGTCGTGATGTGATGATGGTGAGGCGGGAAAACACTGGTTTTCAAAGGATAAGGAGAATACTTTGTGGTTAGCTACACTCATTTGATAATGCGACATATAGAACATGTGATGTATACGTTATTCGACGTCCGAGGTTCCATGATGGCTGCAGATCCGTACCTTAAACAATCAGACAATCAAAACTGGGTATGGACACATAACCTTCTCAATCTGGGGACCAAAATCAACAATCGCCGTTATCGCCGACGTGAGTAAGTTGCACACACGATGGGGGCTTCATAATGGTCACCTACGAGCCAGTATTCCAACAAATGGGACCCGTAGCTCAGCGGTAGAGCATCTGATTCCAGCCAGCAATTACCAATAACGAGTAGTTCTACTCTAGTTAGTAAAATGCACTTGCCTCCAGAAGGTCATCCGTTCAAATCGGGTCGGGTTCAATTCCTATGACATTCGAATTACCAAATTAATGGGGTTCGGTTAAACTTACTTTTTTAACCTTTTTTTTATTTTTTAAGTATTCACCCTTGTGGGTTAGTGCTTTTCTGCTATGCTAAAATTAGTATAGTGCCAGTTCCAGCCCTAGTGGTTAGTAATCACTATGAAACAATCACTCACTCACTCAATCGCTCACTTGAGGTACATGGTGATTGATGAAAAACAGGTCATATGTAGTAGAAGCTGGCTTGATTGGAAAACTCAGTAGACAGTCAGTCACATTTGCTGATCGAGATAATACAATCAATACGAACTCATTCGGCTCTATACACACTTTATATGCCCGACCACTCAATCAATCTCACCAGACGGTGACATAATGTGTCGAACACATGCCAAACACCCGTTCGATATTACCACTGGCTTTCTTATTCTGTGTTCAATTCATCGCTAAATTCATATCTGTAAGTAAGCTCACCCTCCCTCGCCAAGATAGATATCTCATATTTCCCACCCCGGAGAAGTTCCAAAGCCCAAGACAATAACGCCAAACAATTCCCCGCCTTTTCACAATCCCACCCGATCGGTTCCCTAATTAATCCAAAACGAGTCAAAGGGATACAGAACTAGATGCCAGATGCGCCATTAAAGAAGCCATTAATGATGTTGGTGTTGGTAGTGATGATGATGATGACGATGATGAGGAGAAGCGGTACTAGCCCGCACTCCTGACCACCAAACGAATGTGTGAGTGTATTACAGTATTACTTTACTCAGACCTCACCTACCTATAGCAGTGAGGCGGATCTCAAGATAAGATAAGATGCAAAGGGCCGTCTTGAACATGTATGTACACACGCATACATGTCTCGCGCTACCCGGGAAGGCTGAATCATCCCAGAAAACCACCCGCGCCCTCGTCCATAACGGCGGTAGGCGCCACGCCTCCGCCCACGCCAGTCTCGCTCTCGCCGTGTGCTTGTGTATGTGGCGGCGCGTAGACGGAGGCCGGGTGGTGCGCGAGCTTGCGGATCGAGTGCACGGGATAGCCCTCGCACTCGTCGTCGTCGTCGAGCCCGATGCTCTCGGTGCGCGACCTCTTGCGGCTTATGAGCGACGGCATGGTCTCCGCCTCGCCCAGCGTGAATGCGGCTGCGTCGCCTTCGATCATGTCGCCCAGCCCTTCTTCGAACAGGCTGTCGGACGTCCGCCGGCTGTAGTCGGGCGAGACGCTGTTGAACTCTGCTGCTGCTGCGGGCCACGCGGTCCAAGCGTCTGGATGCTGAGAGCTGAGATCGACGTGGGTCTCGTCCCCGTTATGGTGGTGTGCGTGGTGCGCGTGATTCGTGGCGGCGGCAGCGATGGCGGCCCATTGTGGCTCCATGGCGCTCGTCGCTACCAAGGCGCTTGTGTCGGCCCAGCTGACGCCGCCGGCGTCTGTCGTGGCGTGGCTGTTGTCCATGTAAGGGGCTGCCAGGTCCCCGAGTGCATGGGTGGCTGTGGTGAAGTTGGGCATGTAATCCGGAACCTCGAGACCCGGGAGAAATGGCTCGGTTGGACTTAAATCGCTAGCTGCGAGGAGGGCTACGTGGCTGTGGTCGGTAGTGCTGGTGCCACTTGTCCCATCAGACATGAAGCTCAGTTGGTGATGCAGAGTATGCCCCGAGTCGATGTTGGTGCCGTTACCCTCGAAGTTGTGGGGGAAGTTGCTCTGGAGAGTGGCCGAAGGAGGTGGTGTTGCGAGGCCGTTTGAAAACCCGTCGAGCATGTCGCCTAGTCCTGCGAGCTGGTGTTGTGTGTTGAGATGATGTAAATGCGGATGATTGTGAATATGGTTATGACTTGGCAAGGTGAACGTGTTCGCATGTCCGCTGTCATACACGCCGCTGAAATTCTCATGCATAACTGCGTTCATATGCTGCGCATATTCGGGGTTTGGGCTCATGATGTCGTCCCGGGACAGGGATCTGGGCGACCCAGAGATGTACGCCTGTTGCTGATGGTACGACGAAGTTGGGTCGATCTTGGTAAGGAAGCGCCAGTTGGTCCCCGGCGGTACAACGGTTGTCTTGCCCTTGTCATCGGTGTCGTCGTGGACGGGCACGAAGGTCCATAGGATCACCGCCCGCCGCGTCCATTTGCCACGGCTCCGCTTAGAGGATGAGTCCTCGCCGTTACTTCTGGCAACCCCTTCGCTCTGAGGTGACGACCATACCTCTTGGTACATGGCAACCTGAGAGAGGAGGTCTTTAGGGCTGGGGCCTCTCGCCTTGGAGTGGGACGAGGCCTCCTCGTTCTCCTTCTTCATACGGGCGGCTTCGCGCTCGGCTCGGCCGCTTAGTGATGCAGCTGCTCTGGTTGCTCGCTCGCGGTCCTTCCTCTCTCGTTCAGCTGTCACGAACGGTGCCAGTTTAATGAAAGTGTTGGCCCAGCTGTTAGCAGGGAATGGAATGGAGATCGTATCGCGACTACCACGGGCGGTGCAGTCACATCGACCGACTCCAGTGCAGCCGACGCGGTGAGAAGGGATTGCACTAATCGTACTGCTCTCATCCCAGTATTCGTTTTCGACATCCGACATGTACAGCTCGTCTGGTTTGATGACGCATGTCCTTGATCGCCAACTATGATTGTGGAGATCAGGCCTGCTAATCGTAAACTCGACGAGGCCATTCAATTCGGTGCCTGGGGGGAATTTGGACGTTGAGTGCAAGTCCAGCACCGTTTCGAAATGGAAAGTGTCACAGGGGCCAACAACACAGCGCGAGGTTCGCTCATCAGTGGGCTGTGTATCGTCGAGGGCGGCAGTGAGCTTCTCGCGGAGCTCGGGGAATCTTACATCCCACCTGCTCGCAATCTCCTTCACTGAAGATGATTCCTTCTGGGTCAGAGTCCTTGTGTATTCATGTAGCAAAACAGTCGGGCGGTTTCCCTGGCGTGGTAGGTCTTTGTAGTCCTTGCTCTCATTGAGCTTGAGGTGGGGGTAGTCCGCCTCCGTCAAGCATAAACCATCCGGATGATTTGCGACCACCTGCTTCTTCGTCGTACCATCTTCTGATGTGATGTGCTTCTCCTTTAGGTTTATTTCCGACGACGACACGAAAACCCAGCATTGTTTCGGTCGTATGAATACATCGTTCTCGGCATTCAGCAGGCGAGAGAAGTACTCGTAATTTGGTCGCTCATCCGGTAATCGCCCATCAGCTATAGATATGAGTACTCGGTTGTTCTTAAAAGACTCGGTATCTTCCTCCTCTTTCAGGAGTTTCTTATCGTCGTCTAGTCCGTCCTTCTGTCTAGGGAAAATGAAATGGACTAAAGCTAGTAGTTAGCTCACGGTGATCAACCGAGAAGGTAACTATGCTTACATGTGGATAGTGTTGGGAAGAATCCTTTTAACACTTGTATATGACTAGACACCTGTTTTCGCGACCGAAACATAGGATGCCCAGGATTTTGTTTGGTCTTTTCCCTCTGCTTTCCACATGGAATCCGCTCGCCCTTCTTAGGTGGGTGGAGTGTCCAATGGTAGATCCAAAGGTATTCCGTGATCAGCATATTTCGGCCATACAGAATCGTCTTCGAACTAAACTTCTTACGCCCCAGCTGAGGGATCAGGAGAAGAGCTACGATTATGGGTCAACGTGAGGCCCTTTTGCGAACGGGCTTAGTAAAGGATATACATACCATCGAGGAAAGCGTCTTCTAGCCAGTCTGGCCACACAGGTTGCTCCTTGTCGAGCTCCTTTTGCATGACCTTATTCCGGTAATCCGCAAAGTTTTTATGATGGTATATGGGATTTTTCCTACCCCGTGAGTTACCCATTGGTAATTCATGTAACGACGCATTTCGATGTAATGAACGTTCGCCCCGAAGACTAGTGCCATAGCTCGAAGTCAAGGCTTGCGTAGGCAGTATTGGGGGTGTTGGTATCGAATGGATCGGTGGAGAAAGTGATAACTGGCCATAACACAATGAAGTGGCAGTATTGAGGCTGTGTGGTTGAACGTTCCCGGTAGACTCGCTCAAGGGTTGCCGTGCTACTGCTACTCCTTCATGCTGGCCCTCGTATACGAAATCAGACGCAGGAGAATATCGTTGGGATGGCAAGACCGGCCGTGGAAGCTGCATCGTGAAAATTTTAACGAATGAAACGATAAGAATGCTTCATGTAAAGATCGAGAATTTTGGCGAATGCCTCTGGAGAAGTCAAGAACGCTGGGAAGCAGATTAAGATATGTGGAAAGGAATGGCAGTGGCAAGAAATGTCCAACGAGGGGATATGGCCAAAGATAGTCACCTGGTGAGAGTTACTGGCATGGAGGCAGATGACTTCATATCTTATATGAGCCTTCCCGGGGACTCGAGAAGAGGTACAGTTAAGAAGGGCGACTGTGCCCTGAACAAACACGCCCTAGAAAGTACCCCGCAAGGGCGTCATCAAGAACGTCTTGAATAGTACAAACGCTACAGTCGAGACAAGACGTAATTGTATGAGATAGGATGAGGTACTACTGGCACGGAAGGAGACTAGGGTCAAGATGATAACGAGACAACGAGACATTCCGGGGAATGCCCAATTTGCAGTGTCTGCTAACGATGTCCCGAGCATATCGGCCCGGCGACTACTCCACGATTGTGGGTGCTGGCTGCGGGAATGTGACTTTGACTAACGTACTGATACAGCGATCGTCGAGTGGTGAGTATACATAGCAGCATGTATTACAATCGACAGGGGGGCTTGCTCTGTGTCAGCGGCCCCTTTCGGTAACCTAACCTACCTGCATGCGAACCGTTTGCCTGGGTTCGACCTGGTGGGGCTCCTATACTCCCGGCGAAGGGAGGCTCCGCAACCAATGAATCAGATCTACTCCCCAAAGATGGTAATACTCACTCCTTTAGTGGCATAATTATAGGCACAGGGAAGCATAGACACAGTCAATTGTCACCTCTCAGTCTCCCTCGTCCCTGTCTCCCCCAACGTTAAACTTCTTCCGTCCT